TTTGGTAAGTTTCTGAAAGGGTTAACATTTTATAATTGCCTGCAGTAAGAGTGACTGCACTGAATAATCAAAAAGGCCCCTTTAGTTGTTCCTTCATTACGGAAGAACTTGTTGAGATTGGTTCAAACTGAAGCTATTAGCCAGCTCTGAATGAAACAACTGAATTTTTGTTGAATTTACTTTTGTTGCTTTTAAAAATTTTCTGCAAGGAGAAAAACTCCAAGGCTCATACTATCTTAAGATTATCTTTTAAGAAGAACAGAGAATAACAACTGTTTTTCAGTGTTGGAAGAAAAAGCAAGATGAAGTAAGGATTCATAGGTACCCACCAGGCACATGAGCCCCTTGATTTTGTTATGGCACTAGTCTCACTGCACGTTTTAGAAGAAGTTTTAAGACTGGCACTGTTTTGGTTGTTGTTCAAAGAATGATTAATGTAATTGGTGATGTATCACCTCAAAAATCCTTTTGATTTCAGGATGATTTTTTTCTTCTCCAAGGACACTGTCTCCTTTCAGCATTTTCTAATAAATATCTGAGAGTATACCTGACAGGCAGCCAGATAAAGGGAGGCTGTCAAATTTCTTCTCCACAATAGGAAACCCATTTATATGAAACACTCCTACAGAGTGACTGTGTACATTGCAGGAAAGGGTTGGAGGAAGATGACCTATCCTTTTGATTTATACCTACAGGGGTTCTGGCATCTTGCTGGACTCTTGTTGCCATTAAATAATTATTAAATTGTCAGTATTCCAAGAAAAATAAAACGTATACTCAATTTTACTGTGAAAATCATGCAAAATAGCTGTGCTATTTGTATTTGATTTTGTTGGACTGCACAGTGCACTGAAATCACCAACTGTCAGATGTAATATTACAACCAAATGCTTGGAGGCTAGATGTATTCTGTCACTGTCATGCTGTGGATAATTTATGCCAGTAATCCCCAGGCGCATCTGAGCAGCAGGACACACTGGATCTCATTCTTTTGCCTCAGTGGAAAATGTACTTCAAGGTAACGTGGTGATAGTGCAATGATGGGATCCCGGGTGTTAAACCACCAGCAGCACCGCAAGGTACACACAGAGCATCGCCTCTGTTATTCCTCCAAACCTATCACCTAGCACTGCATCTTGCCTGTCAAGCACAGGGAAATATCATAAAAGTAGCTGCTGATGTAGAGATGGAGAAAGCAGGCTCAAAGACACAAGCCCTTGCAGTAAGCAGATTCAAGAGGGGTGAACCAATATGACTCTCTTTCAGACACGGTGATCTCCTCCTCTGCTGCTGACCCAGGCAAAGCTCCACCAGCTGCTGGCACTATATTCATGCTAGCAAGCACATATGAACGCATCCAGGCAAGTGGTGTTTCAGTTCTGCGGGAGGATTCTGAGTTGCCCTTAAGCTCACGTCCTTTATCTGCAGCTTTTACTTTGCTGGCCATCTGAAGGAGCTGTATGCACAGGCTAAAGCAAGCGAGGATTTGTGCTTTTTAAGCCTGACAGCAAGTCTGCTAGACCAGATGTAGGCAAGGGAATGTATACAGAAAAAGAGAATTACTAAGAGATTGTGTCCTTAGTGATTTGCTTCATTCAAGTATATGCAAGGTCCAACTTTGTCACTTGATTTTAAGACCTGTTCCAAAGCCCACTGGGTCCAGGAAAACTCTCCGGGCTTTAATGTGTTTTAATAACTGGAGACTTCATTTAAACTATTAACAGCATATCTCTAAATAAAATTAATTTTGTACTGTTTGTTCATGGGCTGATGAGTAACAAAACTGATACAAGATTTGGCCTGATCAAATATGCAGGTCTATTTACAGATTTACAAAGGGAACCTTGCATAGCACCTGCCCACACATAATTCTGGCTCCTGGCACTACTTTAAGGAGTATTGAATTCCTTCCCACCCACACATCTTTACATAAGTAAAAGCTTAAACATCAATTCAGACTAAACATTTTTGAATGCAGAATCCCTTGAGTGCGATAAAAAGACACAGTGGTGTAAATGAAACTTTAATTTCCATCACGCTCAATAACTGATGTGCTAAAAACACAGATTTTAAAACAGTGCATAGTTTATTTAAAGTTATTGATTCCCACTTCCAGTAAATTCCTGTGTTCCAGCAGCACATTGTGTTTCCACTGGAGGCTGAGACCACCACTAGATGTTATTCAGCAAGTGGAAAAAGTTTCCGTCCTGAATGGCTATCAAAAAGAGGTCCCATACAACATAACTTCCAACTTGCCATGTGAAGAAGGGCAACCTGGAGCAGAATTTCCTAGCCTCTGGTGGGCCCAGGGGATTTATGCCACTCGACTATGAAAGCACAGTCTATCAAAAGTGGCTAGGAAAGGTAGCTCAGTATTTGTGTCACTGAGCAATGTAGTTATGTACAGTTTTTATAGAGATTGGCATCATCAGCTACAAATTCTTAGGAGTCCATTGATTCAGGGTAGGTTGAAAATCACCATGCAGGAGCATTAATGGAAGGGAAAATAAGATCTTAGCCACTGTCACTGATGTCCAGCCTGGCGTAAAAAGAAAGCTAGTATGACAGCCTCTGATCATATCTAATAATAATGAGGGGCTAACAAAGAGACAACTAATAGAGAAAGGTTTCCAAAAAACAGCTAATGATCAATTCCATTAGTTCAACATGACTTCAGGAGAAATCTTTAAACAGTCAGACTGGAGTTTGAGCTTGCCCCGGTGTTCAAAGGTCAAAAAGCTGATGGTTTTGTCCTTCCCTTCTGACTCCACCTGGTGTTTTGCAGGACAGCAGCAATCTGTCATCTTTTTCACAAATTACGATGTGCTACTGTCTTAAAATAGCACAACTCATAACCTGTATTTGGATAATGCAGGACAACGAGAGGCCTGGGACGTTTCCTGGCTGATCTCAAAGTGGCACCGACACCAGAACGGGAGGCAAAAACCACCACTGCCTGGCAGCAGCAACAGAATTGCAGAAAACCTGGCAAAAATCAGCTTCCGCCACTATGGAAGAACCAGCTCAGCTTCGTGACTTCACTGAGATAAAAGCATCTGCAGCATTAGAGGCAGGTCAGAGGGGAGGGCCGTGTTCAGACTCCACTTTGCCAGGCTCAACATGGGAAGACCGCGCTCCAGGCCAACCAGCTCTAACTGTGTCAACTTCCACGGTAATTCCCACTGTATCTCAGAGAAATATTTTCGTTACTCCAAAATCCAAACTGAACTACTGCAAAAAACAGTGTTGACCTCCTGGACCTAATTCATACTTCACACCATTTCACTCGCTGCAGCTGTACCAACTTTAAGGGAAGTTACACATTAGTATAGGAGAAAGGAAAAGTAGGTCAGTTGTCGTTAGAAAAACAACTTAAATCTTAAGAGCCAGTTTATTAAACTGAACCTACATAAATATGAAAGAATGAGGATCTCAATTGGCTTCAGTTTATGAAGTTAGCACCTGAAGTCTGCATTTCAAAGGCATGTGCATTTTGCATAATTTTCCTGCTTCTCATCAACCCCTTCCCTTGTAATTTATGCTATATGCATCTTGAATTAAAGAAAAATAATCATTTTCAGGCACTGTTAACCATGAAATGGATTCTCCAGGTTTCACTGCATATTAATAAAATCACTTTTGCATCCATTCAAATCTATGCATAATTTTTTTATAGCATTCCTTTTAGTTGAATTTTGCTACAGTATATATACCAACTCTGGATATGAATGTTTCTAGCATAAACATCGCCTGCCTATAATGATTTCAGCATATCTCATTGCATTAGGTAGAATTAAAATTGGGGAAAAAAAAAAAAAAGCCTTGTCAGGTCACAAACCAAAAGCTGGCAGTGCTTAGGGAGACACTATGATTAAGGTATTCTACATAATAGGTGTTTGTTGGTTTTTTTTTTCACTTTGTTCTGCAGTACATAGCATTATTCACCATCAAATAAAGGTTATTATAAAAGGCTGGCCAAGAGTTTGATCTGATAAATTAGTTCTTAGGTTCATAAGATGCTACTGGCTTATACATCTCAGAACTGGGCATAAATGTGATAACAGAGTAACACACTAAAATGAAGCAGAACGTCAGTCACCCAGTTGTTCTGCCCCTGTAAGCTGCATCTGTATTTCCTGCTTCAGCCAATGAACGCAGGTCTCCACGGATTGCCCTTATCACCATGCACAAAATTTTCCACAAATGAATAAAAAAATGGATAATTTATCAGGATTCGGGCTAAGACTGTGTTCACCTTTCAACAGGCTAAACCATGACTTGCTTACGCTTCTCTAAAAAAAATCTTGAAAATGTTTTCTGCAAATCTACTCTCAAGTCAGTAACAGAGGCACATTAAAACTTGTTTATAGTTTATTCTGTAACAAGACAGCTGCTCCCAACTGGAGGAACTGAATTACAGATCTCAATCAGTATCTTTGCTATAAACATCTCCGAGAACCTACACTTCTACTTGTTCTGCAGGGAATTTCCTACCCAGGGACTGAGCACAGAAGGGCACTAAAGACTTAATAAAAAAAGGAATTATTCTTCCTCCATTTTAAAAATCTGTACTTCCTTTTTTCAGCTATCAAAAGGGAGTCTTCTCATAAGGCTTGCTCCAGGGAAAAATGATCCTTAAAATCATAAGAAACTGGCTGGGACCTGTGGGCTTGGCCAGACCAACCTCCCACACAAGGCAGGTCAACCTTTGAAGTTAAAATTAAGTTGCTCAGGCTTTTGCCACTTGAATTTTGAAAATCACCAAAGATTGCAATTCCACAGCCTTTGCAGGTGACCTGTTCCTGGGCTTATGTCACCATAGGGAATTTTTTGCCTTCTTTTCTGCAAGTTGAACTCAATTCCCTCAACCAGAGCAGAGTTGAGAGGAATAATCATTTCCCTGGACCTGCAGGCTCCTTCCCCTTGTAACCATTTCTGTTAGTGCTTACCACAAATATATTCTCTCTTATATATATTTATATATTTAAATTAACACTCACCAGCCACTGCTGAGGTATTTCTGGCAGAGGCATTTGAGGAGGTGCTGGCAAACTGTTGGCAACTTCTTGCTTCTGTACATGTTCTTTTATTTCAAAACCTGTGGAAGAGCAACATGCATCGCTTAACACTTCAGTGGATGCAAATGGCACATTTTTTCCACACGTGGACACCACATCTGACTGTCACACACCGAAATCTGGCACGCAAGGCTGCTCACAACCTAACTCCCAAGCGCAGTTACTGAGGCAGGACTGGAAGAATGCTGGGAATTCAGGAATTTAATCAAGCAGAACAAACACATACTTACTCTATATGATAATGACATATATGCTATTTGGATCAACAAATACCAGACAGAAAAAATTTACAGGAAATCATTCTGAACTGCCTATCCATCTGGAACTGAAAGACTTAAACAGCTACACGTTGCCAGGCGTCTACCATACAGATAAAACCACTTACGGGGGTAGATACCATACTTGTGAATGTCTCAATGGCACCATACAGTGAATAGAACACGGTCAGCCTGTGGGCAGTATGTAGCTGGCTGCCTTTTACCAGCAGAGACAAGCAACAGTTATTCCCATGGCACATTTTGGATGGGTAAGGCCATCATGCAGAAATGAGTCCAAAACCTCCTTTCATGCCAAAAGAGTGGGGAAGAGGGCAGAAGAGACCCTGCCTCTCTCCCTCCCCTGCAGTAGTGGTGACAGCTATTCAGCCAAGCCCACAGCGCCCGTGTACCCTGGGGTCCCTGCTGCCACCACCATCTCTGATCATGGAGCCACGGTGCGAGTCTGCACAAGTCCTGGGAGATGCAGGATGCTACGACACCCCAACCTGGAGCACGCTGCTGCTGGGGGGTACATTGCCCTAACCGACTCACCATTAACAGAACTGCACATTGAGCATGTTTTCCCACTATTTCCTTCTTCCTCTCATTTTTAAAAAAATAATCCTATAGTTTTCCAGGTGAGTTTGAAAAGGGAAAAGGAGCCGAATGTAAAAGCTGCTTTGAGGGTCCTTTGTATCACTATTGCATTTCCCTCCCAGGGGAAAAGAGAAGTGGCCCACTCGTTCTGAGTTTTTGGCACAGTAATTTAAATCCCAGTTGAACTCACTTCACAGGAACATGACAACGTTTATTTTTCTAAATCTCAAAAGGGAGATTAGGGTGCATCTCAATGTTCTGGCAAAAATTCAGTCAATGGATTGTACACTGCTTACCCCTAGACTGAATTTAGCTTCTTGTGTTCAGTTTAGTTTTTAAATTATATATTTACATAGTCAAATGGATGTCTTTTGGTCAAGATCATATAATTCTTAAAAATGTAATCAATGATGAAATGTTTCTTGTCATAATAACCCAGTCCCACTGGCTGGGGGGGGGTGGGTTGAAAAACAACACTGATAAAATAAACTGGCTCTAAGAGCCACAGATTCTTCTTTCTTCCTACAAATCAAGAGGGGGATTAGTCTTGGGAAACATTCAAATTTTTTTTTTTTAGTATAACTTTCACTTGTTCCTCTTTATGTAGGATGAATCCATATTATGACTACTATCCATATCCAAGTCTCCCATGCTTTCCGTAACAACCAGAAGTCAAATATGAAGGGCTTTTTACTGCAAGTGAATTCTATTGACTCTGCAAAACTAGTTTTTCCCCAGTTTTAAACTATGTGTGTTTTAGCAAGAACCTGCTCTAACATTTATTTTCTTCTACCAAATTACACAGCAAAGTCAGCATTATAGGTTTACAGCATCAGGTCCATTTAAGGAAAACAGGCAATGTTGACAGTCATATTAAATGACTAAATCCACCAACAGTTCTTACTCCAAAATAAACTGTTTGTGTCTTTGTTTTTTAGAAGAAAGTCTGAGTTTCAGAAGGAAATGCCAAGTGTTTTGTTCAGACCTACAATCCATTGGGCATGCCAAGGCTCAGGAAGAAAAATGAAGTTTATACTTTTGCCAGCTATTCAGAGTAACCACTGGTTTGGACGTGGGGCAGGTCAAGGCCAGGCAGCTACGACCTGAAGAACACATCTGCCTGGCCCAGTTCTCTCCGGTTGATAGATATTAAATGAAGAAAACAGCGTTCATTTGGGAGACGGAAGAAAACAAGGCAAAAGGTTTCTAAAGAATTCCCCAAGTAAGAACTTACCGAGCTTAAACTGCTAAAAGCCAAAACAAAACTAAAAGCCAACCAGTCCATTATAATAATTTCCACACCTTTACAAAGAAAAACATAATTGTTCATTTCCAGATGTTATAAAGAACCCAGCCAGTTCCCAGCTGCACAGATCCTTCATTACCGTTCCCCATTGATCTTAAATGCTTTGCTCCAGCAATTGAAATGTCCTTTGGATTCAGAAAGTTGATTTTTGCAAATGCGTATAAAGAGTCTGAACTCAGCATAGTCCTCAGGACTCTTAAACTGTGCCAGCGACCCAAGAGCTCTCGTGGAGCTATGTGGGTGGAGTAAAACAACATTTTGAAAAACAGACTCCAAATGACAGTTCAGCTTAGTTACAGAGTACTGTGGGTTTATGCATCTTTTATTGCTTTTAATTTTAATGAAGAGATGAATAGTTTCAAAGGGATGGGAGTACTGAATGTTATAACTGATAAAAAAAGCAGCAGGGTCAGCTCCATTAAAGTACATGACTCCCCGGGTAGTTTCACACACACTTGAAGCCAGCATGGGATGGCAGAGCTCCCAAAAAGGCAGCTCCTCTCCTTCCCTGCCTTGTTCCTGTCCCTGCACCAACCTCTCCTTTGTGCCAGCGTAAGCATGTGTGTGGCCTCAGGTTGAACCAGACCAGGGAAATGACACTGGTTAGGACTAAACCAGCAAAAATAACCAAATAATGCTTGTGCTAGCAGAAAGGAAGATGCAATACATGATGAGCAAGAATGAGTAGCCTGGGGAGAGAAACAGGATGCTTTTTCCAGAGGCCATGCTGGCTTAAACTCTATTTAAACTGCAGTTCCATAAAGTAGAGTTTATAGACATATAAAGCATAGTCCTGTGATCTCTTGCTTAACTGAACTATGGGATTTCCTTGAATTAATTCTGGTTTGAACTAGAGCATATCTTTTAGCAAAATATTCTATCTTGACAAAATGCCAGCAATGGCATGCAGACCTTACGAAGTTCTTCCATTAGTTCATAGCTTCAATGCTCAAAAGGTGTGCTTTATTTCCACTTTGAAACAAACATTCTGCCATTGCATACTGCTTTTTGTTGTGTAAGTCTAAAAGCTCATTCTCAGTCATTCCTTTCCTACATCGAGTTTAATTATGATACCTCATTTTGGATAATCTGAAGGCCTATTTCTGGATCCTTTAATCACTTTCATGAATTTTCTTTGAAATGTCTGAATTTTATCTTCTTGAATGCAGGCACTAGAAGTGGGTATAATGTTCAAGTAACAACTGCATTGAACCAAGCTCCACTGCTTAATATATGGATCTCGTAAGGATCTTGTTAATGGATGGATCCTGTAATAGGATGTAATGGATCTTGTTATAGATCCTGTAATAGGCTTTAAAACCTAAACAGTAGGTGCTAAAGGTAGACAGCTATGGTCCTTCAGTCTTTTTATCCTTGGCCACATCTATAGTCATCAATTAAACATGCCTGGGAAGGTACTCTGGTACAGAGAAATCCATACCCGTATGGTTAAAAACTCTCACCCCTCAAAACCGGGTTGGAGGGTGATGGTTTTGAGCTGTCTGTTGGGAACAGATCTTTGCCCGAGCTAACTCCCAAATCATGCCTAGGAACTGATGGAGGAAATGAGTCAGCTCAGGCCAAACCCATGCCAAGGACCGCTCCATAATTTTAACAGTGTAAATAATTGAGTTCCTAGGTCCAGAAACACACCCAGCACTGTTTAATTTACTAGTAGAGCTGTAGCTTTTGTGTCCTGAAACACCATCCACAATCCAGAAGAAAAGGATATGACAACCCTTCCCTGTGCTTGCACAGTTGGCAACAGAATGTTGTCCAACTTCTTGAGGAAGTCAAATGTTTTTCTTAATAAATCTAGTTGAAAAGATTACAAGAAGAAAATGCAGTGTCAGATCAGCATTGTTGAGGTTCTTTTGAACTCCTGTAAAATACAGCTGTTTCTAAACGTATCAAATTGCAGGTTCTTACCTACAGATTTTGGTTTTGGGGAGTTTGGTGTATTTTGATCAGCTTTTGGAGCGTGAAGCTTCCTTCCGCAATATGTGAAATTGGTACCTGCCTCCTTCTCTCAGTAGTAAAGTAAAAATAGTGACGGGTCTTTAAGAATGTCAAAATGGAAAGGAGGACAATCATTATTTTCAAGTTGATCTCCTTGGACTTGAATCCTGTGGCAAAAATTATTTCTTTACTGAAGGGGGGAAACACTGCATCAAACACAAGAAGAACATGCAGTGTCAGATCAGCATTGTTGAGGTTCTTTTGAACTCCTGTAAAATACAGCTGTTTCTAAACGTATCAAATTGCAGGTTCTTACCTACAGATTTTGGTTTTGGGGAGTTTGGTGTATTTTGATCAGCTTTTGGAGCGTGAAGCTTCCTTCCGCAATATGTGAAATTGGTACCTGCCTCCTTCTCTCAGTAGTAAAGTAAAAATAGTGACGGGTCTTTAAGAATGTCAAAATGGAAAGGAGGACAATCATTATTTTCAAGTTGATCTCCTTGGACTTGAATCCTGTGGCAAAAATTATTTCTTTACTGAAGGGGGGAAACACTGCATCAAACAAGACCATATTTTTTTTAGCATATTTTTCTTTAGGAGAAGAAACAAATCATGAGAAATGCAGCTGCTCACAATGTGGCATTTTCTTCAACACACTCTGGTATTTTTCAAAAATCTAAACAGTGAGGGTTTATACTGACAGTATTTCTGTTAAATGTAGGAGAGACAGAGGTCTTATAGCCCAGATGCCTCTTTATAAAGAAAGGTGCTGTAAGGAAATTAAGCGTACTGTTAGGAAACATAGTGAGCAATATTCTTCATATAAGCTGTGTGGAAAGGTTGTTGTACACAGTGAATCATTTATATTGCATTCAGTTCCATAATCTTGATGGAGACAAAACAGATTGTGCAATCAAAATGGTTTTAGATAGGAAGAAAAGGGGAAAGTGAATATAACTCTAATTGCAAAATGAAAACCAAACGTGCTGACAGCCATTTCCTCCTAGCTCTGGCTTGACACTCCTGTATCAGTCATGCACCAGAGTCTGCCTCAATATCAAGCTTTTGATGGATTTGGGTCCTTTGACAGAGATGCAGCATGCAGCACTCATGCATCCACAAAATGGTGCTGTGGCCAGCACTCCCTGACGCAGTATTACTTTTCCATCAAAACTCATAAATAGCACTGCTGCCACAAATAAAATGAAGTAACCACTATATCAGCAGAAGTGAAAACATTCTATCTATCTAGCACGTAGTTTTGTGTCTGGATTCACCCATGTGCGTCCAAGACACTTCCAGTATGCCTTTTGCTACATTTTATTGCTGAACATGAAGGAAAGCATTCAGGAAAGTTACACTTTGGCTTCATCCTGTCTTTCTGTCTTGCTTCGATTTAGGGCTTGTCTTTAGCCCTTAAAGCTATTTCACTGAGCACAGACTTATTCTGTGCATTCTGCAAGTGAGAAAACCCGCCCCTGACACTGACCTTTTGATGACTGTATCCTCAGGAGAATGTTAGTTATTACTGCCTTCTTCTCCCTGACAGTGGAAGTTAGATATTCATGGTCCAGAAGTTCAAGAAACAGGCGCAGCTCAACTATTAACTCTTCCATGGCTGAAAGACAAAAAAAAAAGAATTACTTTTTCTAAAAAGTCCCATTAGAAAAAAGATAGAGATAATTCTCATTTATTCACATTCACAGTTATTTTCTAGCATTTCTTCAACATGTATGGTCTTCCCTGCTGGAAACAGACTATTCATCAGTAAAACCAACAGAATAGTCCATCAGTGAGCACTACTGGCTTTTGTAGCGATTATCTCAAAATTGATGCAGAAAAGACAGTTCTTTTCACATACCACATCATCAAGCCAGCACTAGACAAAAGTAAGTGCAGGAGTGGTGGCCATCTGCTTTTCTAGCAGTGCCACTCTGGTTCCTCTCCCTTTTAACAAACAATTTCTAACTGCAGAACAAATTTAAAGTTTGAAAGAACTTCTCAACACATTGATATTTTCATAAATCTTTAGAGAAGGGCTCTCTTTCCCTCATCTTATTTCTTCTGTTCGCTGTGGAAAAAAAGAGCAGGTATTCCTTTACAGTGATTTGTCTTTCTTGTAACTTCCAAAGACAAGCTCCCAACCCGTCACGTAATTTCTTATTACTCCCCAGATTCCTGATGATGCACTTCATATTTCATCCTATTTCTACTATTCCAGATCTCAAGGCTTTCCAATTCTTTCTAGAAAAAACGACATTCCTTCCATGTATTCCCAATGCTTCTCAATTTTATCAACAAACTTTATAAGCACATTTCTACTTTTTTCCTTTCAAATTACCTCTAAAGTCTTGCATTGTCTTGACGACTGCAGTAGCTCAGACCATACATATAAACACATTTGTTACAGCTTAATCGTATGATGCCTATTCAGCAGATTTATGAGAAACCCATGGTACTGAACCTCATTTTCATGCTTCAACTCTCTCATAATTCTGATTCTCTGGTCCCTTCGCTTAAGCAGACTTGCTATTTTTAGTTTAAGTTTCATCTTGGATATAATAGTTCACATTTCTGTACTTTCTGTATCTGATGACATTATCCTCATTAAAAGACGAGGAGAAACATCCATTTCATTTCAGGGCCGCACCTAGGATTAATCTCAGGGCTATCCTCATTCCAAAATGCCTCCACTTAATTTTTTCTCTATTTATTCACATTTGTTTTTATAGTCTTTTCAAGGCCTAACAGGGCAAACGCTGCTAAGCCTCTTCAGACGTCTAAAAAATACTTTGCTGCTTACTCCCTTACCAGCTCTTCCCTACTCCTAATGATACGGTTGTTTACCCAAGTGAACCTGGAATCTTTTTTCCCATTTCTGGGAACATGTCTGGATGTTTAAACAACCCTTGGTCAAGATGCATTTGTTTTGTCCAACGCTTGAAAACAGCACCGTGCAGGGAAACCTGCAGATGTCAGCTATGGTTCTACAAGGGGCTGTTGGCCCCTTCTTGTCTCCAGTGAATGCACATTTTCCCATTTATTTGCTGACTGTACCTGCCAGTACGTTCAGGCTGTTCTGGCAAACCTGACATATGCCTAGCAGGCACAGAAGACACGCCAGTTTGCAACACTAAGGCACGATAGCGTCTTAACAAAGAAATCCCTGATAAGAAGTACACTTGGGCAAATCTTTTCTGAAAGACACCATTAATTTGCACATATACAACCATCCGCCCAAGTTTTCTCTTGGTGAATACGTTCTTCTGTTCAACTGAGCAGTAGCACTGCCATTATATCAACTGTCCACACTTTCAGGAAATTTGTTTCCCAAAGATTTTTACAATACATAGGCAGAAAGGGGGTATCCAAAATGACAGCAAAACTGCCTACATCACTTCACAGTGTAGCTCATGAAAAACATCCCATGGCTACAAGTCATTTTTTTTGCCATCACACTTGTAGCTGTCTAAGCTGTCTAGAAGTCTGTCAGAAATCTAAAGTATTTCATGACAACCCTATTACTTCCAGTGTTGTTCACATTATGGAACAACAATATACATACCCACAGCATACAGCTTTCTGAAGCAAAATGGTATAGGTTCAGGTCTGCAAAGTAGTAAATGATTACAAGTCTCAAGGAGGAAAAAAGAGAGAGGACCTATGACTTAAAAAAAAATAATACCCAAATAATCAGCTCTGAGTTATTTTGTAAATGATAGATTTTAGAAATAAGATGTATACTCCATTAAGTGTACAGCGGTCTCTTGCTTTTAAGTATGCTTTGAATATAAGATGTATTAATATTGTTGTTATGAGCTTGATTTTAATCATGGAATTTATGAATCTTTTCATATTTACTTATTTATTATAATACATGCATTTCAAAAGCTATCATTACCATAGAATCTAGGCAGTCATTGTGAAATCTAATCAGTATACAGTTCTAGAAATGTATATTTTTCAAGTAGTTCTACAGCCATATAAATTACTGTCAGTAATTGCATATATTACTGCACTAAAATTTCTTTGCAATGGCTTGTTTTCTGGATTCTTTAAGGCAAGGGACTGTAAATTAGCTGAAAGGGAGCTCTCCCTTCTTCCCTTCACCAATGAATACCCTGTCCCACAGTAACCGTATTTCTTTGCCTAGAACCTTCACTTCTGGGAAAGAAGAGAGAAAAGGATGAAAGCATCAGATACCATTGATGTGCACAGTGTGCGTAACTGTTTCCAGTTATTAAAAATGATAAGATCCTTGTACTCAGGAGCTTATAATCTAATATAAATGGATGAGAAATGAAAACAGAGCAAGAGGAAGTTATGAGGCAAAGAGACAGGGAAGGAACAGAAGAGGAGATGGGAAACCGCTGCTGGAGAGACTCCTGGGAGCTGGCATCAGCCCAAATCTCTCCTGAGGCCTCATCACATAAACGTGTGGCCTTCTCCTCCTCCATGTCTTTGGAGAAAATCTGCATTGCAGTCACTGGTGACCACAGTTCGTTGACCTACAATGACAAAGTTACTGGCAGCAGTTTAACTGCACCCAGCAGAGGATTTTAAAAAAAAAAGTCTCAGTTAGGACTGATAGAGGATGACAAGATGAAGCTGATACCAGTGAGACAATGCTCAAAAAATCTTGAAACCACTGCATTAGTAACACGTTCGCTGTAACTGATTACATTTGGCCTGGTGTCCAGCACTGTGGTTCAAATATCTAATAGTGCATCATAAAGGAATACAGAGCGTGAGAAGACTTGTTCTTCCTGCCTTTGTAAGCTTGCAGGTATATGACATTGACTTCAAGTAAGCAGTCGTAAAAGGTACTTTAAAATGTTAGTAATACAACAGAATAAAATTGTTAGCAGCTGTTGTAAATTGCTAGGCACAAATACTTAAGACATCGCTTCTCTTATTTTTCTACCAGGATTAAATTGGGGTTGTATTTTCTTTTGTGGGAGCTAATAGCATCACAAGCATCGAAGTGTGGAGGAAGGAAGTTCTGAATTTCACTTTATATATATGCAGTGATGTCAAACACCCAAAAAGAAAAAAAGGGAAACACTGTTCTCAGCTAGTAAGAAACGCTCTTTCCATGTATCTTAAAAATGCACTCTTCTTTTTTAATACTTTCGCTGCTTAAGCAGAGAACAGAAATACTGCCATGGAGTGCTTTTGAAGTATTTAAATAAGGAACTGAAAACTCTTTTTTCTAAGATGGTAACAAATAAGCTTGTATGTAGTCAGGAAAAAACAAGTTTGTCTGTTGTCAATCCTTGCCTTATCTTCTGGATTAAAGAATCTTCTCTTCTCCTTCCTAGAAATGTAACGATGTGCTCACAAAAAGTAATGGAACTGAATAATAAAAAATCCACATAATGCATATTTTCAGTAAGCAATCATTACTTCTGAAATGGAGACTAAAAATGAGAGGGTGATGCAAGTCCCAACGAAAAACATACTCCTCCAGTGAGAGATTACCCTTGGAAATCTGACATCACCACAAAATAAGAATAATAATCAGAAGGCTCTCAAAAAGGGGCCAATTTATTTGACAGTTTTGGCTGTATTCTCATTGCCAAAGGAATTACTTGTAAGTGGCAGGTGGTGAAAGGCAGGGTGGAGCCCAGGGATGGTAATCACAACAGTAAGCAGATTTTAGCTCAACTGAGGAGAAAAATCACATTCCATATTAAATGATGAGAAGTCCATTCTATGCTCAATAGGAATTATAGGCCCCTAATGGGCTGCTGCAATTGCCATGCACAAATAAAAAAACAATGATACATCCAGAAGGGTTTCCAAGACTGGCTCTCAAGAGTTTTAAAGTTTTTCAAATGACAGCACATAAAAAAGATATACACAAGCCAGCAGTGGAATACACCAAGGTAAAAATAATCAGAGGAAGGCAATTACATCACACTGTAGTTTTTGTTCCAAACCAGCACTAAAACCAACTGGGACTGAAAGAGCATGATGATGCAATTATTCCAAATCTACATTTATGGGTACTAGCCTATAACCATTTTTTAAAGAATATAAAGTTTTCACTTCCAATTGATTAAAAAAATTCTTGGGAGCAGTGCTATATCACACACATGATTTCAAGGTTGCTTAAACCAGAAGAAAAGACAAGGATGAGCTCATTAAAAGAATGATCAGATTGTTTTTTGGTCACTCACAGCAATTACAGTATCTCTTAACCTTGCCACACCACAAATGACCCGAAAGTGTTTTCCAGTTGACTAATATCTGCTGAAGAACTTTTAAAGAAAAAGAAAGACAAATCCAGGAAGGATGACAGGAAGTATTTTTAATAATTATTGTCTTGTCCATAAAATACAAACCCCAGGCAAAGTAAATGCACTTCCATGCTTGCATGTCTATTATAAATGCATGTATACAAGTATGCCAGTATGTCAGCATACATCTTCCAGGAACGCCAAAAATCTATGTCAGCATTTTGAGCCCTACCTTGACCAAGGTAGGGGCGGAAATCCCATTTAACTTCCTGAAACACATTTGATTGGATTTATGGATCATATCGATGCCAATCTTCAAGCTACACATGAAAATCAGGTATTGAGAATAGGTGTACTTCAAGCCAACTACAACC